GGCAAATGAACTTCTAACACAAAAATACTTTAATGTCCTAAATAAATACGAATAAATGATAATAAAACTAATGCACCTAATAATAACTATACATATTTATATACACACAGAGTGGAACAGATTTAAATGACAACTCGTATAACTTATGATCTACATAATATTTTATCCTATTTTATTTTTAATCGATTTTTACAATATTTAAAATATGTTTTATGTTATTTTTCGCAATTACAAAAAATAATTTAAAAATTAATTTTTATTTTTAAATTTTTTTGCAAATTACTCCATGTATTGTACAATTCCTCTAATTTTGGTAAACAATTACGAACTTCTTTAGTAGGTTTTCGAGCTTTTCGCCAGAATATCAATGTTTCATCGATCACTAAACGCGCACTATCACGAACACTCAAATTAACTTCTCGAATATTAAAAAATAATACCGATAAAACTTGTTTATTTTGTGGTAATTTACATCCAACGAGTTGATGTGAACTATTATCAANTTGTGGTAATTTACATCCATCGAGTTGATGTGAACTATTATCAATTTAATAAATACTTATTCGTAAATTTCTTTTAGTCTCAATTAAATAAAAAAGTAATAATTGAGTTTAAAAAATCATAAAATACACAGACTACAAATTATCTCGACGAAACCTCAATGTTAAACGTTAACGTTTATTATTGATGTAAAGATATGAACTAAAATGCTGTTGTTTATGATATCGCATGTAATCAACACAGTTAATAATGATAGGTATTTTTAAGTAGGTAATGTCCAATCTGACCATACTATTTCGATAATATTTATACCTTGTAGAAATCAACAAATAATAATAATCTATTAGTTTGTCAATATAAACGTATGATAATATAATAAAAAACTCTAGAAATGAATTTTTGTTATTTTGTGATCAAATGAGCCGTTTTATGGAAAAAGTACTGAAGACAAATATTATTGAAAATTTAATTCAAAAAATATTTTATCATACAATATATTTTCCTATCGTTAATACTTTAGGATACAATCGCAAAAAACTACGCAAAAATAAATACGCCTATTTTTTTCATTTTGTTACCAAATTTCATTAAGTATTGATTATTACTTTATAATAAAGATTTTTAAATTAATTAATATATCTATCTATATATATATATATATAGATATATATTTAATTTTTTATTACTTTTTAGATTTCTTTTTTCATTAATTATGATGTAATATAATATAAAAAACAAAATATTATTTGTATAATATAAAAATAAAAACATATTTGTTCTTATTAAATATATTTTAGCAAAATGTTATCTTATTGCTATTTATTTAAATAATTACGAATTTCAAATAAGTACAAAAATGTATTAAAAAATTTAATTGAATTACATAATTGAAAAAGAACAATTAAAAATATTTATAGCACAAAAAATCTATAAATAAAAAAAAATATATGCATCGTGTAATCATTGAACATCCAATGACAAAAATATTCATTAGATCTTAAATAAAAAAAAAAAATTCAAAAAAACAATTTTTATGATTAGAACAACATAAAAAATATAATGGAAAAAATAAAGTACAAAATGAATGATAGAAACGAAACTATTCATTAAATTGAAAATTCTTGAACGAAAGTTTGCAAAAATTATTACCAACTTGAAAGTTGTTTATAATACAACACTGTTGATTTTTCAACAATTATAAGTCATCCGCAGAGTATAGTTCAATAAAAATTTGTTTAAATTAAATCTATAGTCTCTGCGGCAAAAAATGTAAGAGTTATAAGTTAAATTGCTTGTTGATTTATCAAAATTAAATGTTTAGATGAGTTCATCAATTGAATCTAGATCTTTTTGATCGTTTTTTCTTAGAAACTTTCTTTGTAGAGCTATTCGTAGATAACTTTTTATTTTTTGTAGGATTATCAGATGGTGTATCAAAATTATTTATGCCATCAACATTGTTAGATAGTTCTATATTATTTACTAATTTTTCTAGTTCGATTGTATTAATTGTTTTATGAAACACATAGGAATCTATAATTTCTTGCGGAATTCTTTTGAGCAACACAAAAGGATCTATAAATACCAAAATTATAAATTAATTTTTTGATAACAATTTTATACAAAATAAATTATTTTTATATTAAAAAGTAATTATATTATTATAAAATTACGAAATCTTTTTTATAAACACCATTGGAACTTTAAAAAAGAATATATAAAAATAAATATTACTATGATAATTTCATAAGAATTCGTTTGTTATTTTCAAAACAAAAATGAAAAATATGTTTAAAGTAACGTAGTTTTGCTATTCGCTTAATAAACTTAGTGTAGAAGGGTTTCCGAGGAACTCCTTTAGGGTTTCTTGTCATAAATGCACTGAGAAACAAGAAGGTGCTAAGCCCCTCAATTGACAAAATTACCCCCCAACATTTTTTCAATTTACGTATGTTTTGATATGACTTATAACTTATAATACAACAATAATTTTGTTGGAATTTTATTTTCTTCAAAATTTTAAAATATCCATTATTCAGCCTTATCCTACAAAAAAATTTTGTGGGTCGATGATAATTTTAGGACAAGTACATATTAAGTTATTATTTCAACGAAATTATTATTTGATCAAAAATAATAAAATATGTCTAACCTAGTTGGACATCCTGTATAATTGTTTTGGGTAAGAAGAAAATCCAATTAGCACCCTCCAAAATGTTAGTTAAATGTTAGATTATTTTATGGTTTAAGTGTTATATGTATAATTAAGTGACTTAATTAGACTAAATTTAATTATTAAAAACTAAAGCTCTATGAAATATACTATTAATTTATTACTTCAAACATTAAAACAAAATATAACTCTAAAATTCATAAAAACAGAGGCGTCATTTGGGTGGAAACAACTAGGCTTTTTCCCTAGTCTAAATTTTCAATACATATTGGGGCCGTATAGTGTTTTAGATCGCAATATTAGCAAGACACAAAATATCAAGAATGTGATGCAGCTGACATACTTTACCCACTCATTCTATGCACATGTGTATATTATTATAAAAAAAATGACACTTACTCATATGATTGACTTTGTCGGATGGTATTTCCACATTAATTGGATTTGATTTGTTTTCAGTAGATATCTCGACGTTTGACACGTCAGGAGTTTTATTCTTACGATTTGAATTAAGAGTATAAGAATTATTTTCTTTGTCTTCATATTTATTTGTTAGTCTAAGTTTTTTACGTGAATCGTTAACGTCGTCGAGATGAGCTCTCTTCTTTGATTGAAAAGTCTTGGAAGTTTCAGGCTTTTGAATCCTTGAATCCTCGTCTTCATCAAATGTTAAAAGATCTTTATAAAATTTTATAATTTTACGTTTACTTGGACGTTTGCCAACATAATGAGGATTGAAACGTATGTTGATGTCGATTACAGGAGTTCTATTCTTTTTTCGATACATCTTGTGGGTTTCAGAATTGTTAATTCTTACATTTTCTTGTTCACCATAATTATTTACTATTTCGTCTGCATTAGTTTTTTTACTAGACATATAGTAGTCTATAATGTCTTGTGAAATTCTTTCTATCAATACAATCGGATCTATTGATTCAAAAATTATAAATATTTTATGTAAAATATATAAATTGTATATTAAAATATATTAATATAAAATAAATTAATCTTACTCATATGTTTGACAGCTTCGGATGGTATTTCCACATTAATTGAATTTGATTTGTTTTTAGTAGATATCTTAGCGTTTGACTTATTGCGAGTTTGATTTTTACGTTTCAAAATTAACGCATCAGAATTTTTTACTTGTCTTTTATTGATAGTTGTTTGTTTTTTAGTAATTTTCTTAACATGGCCAACATTAAGTGTCTTTTTTGATTGAAACGTCTTGGAAGTTTCAGGCTTTTGAATCGTTGTATCCTCGTCTTCATAAAATGTTAAAAGATCTTTATAAAATTTCATAATTTTACGTTTACTAGGACGTTTGCCTATATAATGAGGATTTGAACGTATGTTGACGAGAATGGAATTTGATTTTATATGTCCAGTTTTTAGATGGCTTATAGTCTTTTTGGTTTTGTTTTTCATGTTTAACTTTTCGTGCAGAGATATAAATTAAATATCTGACTACAAAAAATCAAATATTAAAGAGGTTTTGGGCAACTTTTGTAGGGTTTTAGGGATTAAGAAAATTTCCGTGTCACGCCTAAATCGCCCGTGACTGTTAAAAATATTAACTTAAACAATATAAATTTGTAGTCATGGAAACAAGAAGAAAAATTTATATATAAACAAATAAATAGGAATAAACCATCGCTTTTACATTATGTAAAACGAAAAATACATTGGCCATTAAAACTTTTAGCCAGAAAAATTAAAATTAAAATTATATTTAATGTTGTACAAGTTTGTAAAATTTCCATTTTCTTCAAATAAATTTTTTTTATTGTTGCATATTATATTTGAGATATTGAAATACAAAAATGTGTAAATCGACATAAATAAGTTTCAAAAATTTTAAGGTAGACAAATTAGTTATAAACTCACGTGAAATTAACAAAATATAAAGGGATGACATATTTATTATATGAATATTTTTCTTATAAATAATGATTAATTATCAGTCTTATCAGTCATTCCAATTTGATCAGATATTAATTCTTGTTCTAAATCATTTAATTTCTTGTAAAATAAAAATTATATTAGAATTAAAAATTTTTTTTTAAGATGTAATATGCAATTTATTAGTCATGGAATATTTTTTATGTTGGTATGGACCGTTAGTATTTTATAATAAAAAAAATATATTTTCTTTAATTCGAGTAAAAATATTTTAATTTTGGCAATTTAACTTTTCTTAACTCTAAATGGTAACTTGATAACTTTATTTTTATCACTAAAATAATCCGGAATAACGTTATTTTTATATAACAATATGTGTTATTCGAGGAATAATACAATTTGTCTGAGTTACATAAAGAAATTATTTTATAAATTTAATTTACATTTATACAAATTAGTAAGATTGATTTCAATTCCTACACTTTTAATAGTGTAAACATTATGATACGCTCACTGATGATTAAGTATGAACGAATGTTTCGGTGACTTATTAGTTCAGGCGTTCCGTATAGGCAAGCTAACTTTCAAATCCTCGGCAAGTGACGTAGACGCGCACTGTATTTACCAATCGAGAAAAATTGTGAAACTGTACTAGGAACTCAGGAGGAAAGCAATGAAGGTGGGCAATTTGATTTCCGAGACTCGGTAATTTACAAAAAAAAAAAAAAGTTGAAAAAATAGTACCAGGAATTTAATTGTGTTGAACTTTTAACTTTTGCGAGGTAAATATTTGATTTAAGACTTTTTCAGTAATAACTTTTTTATGTAAAATATTTATATCTACAGTTTTTTTCTTATAAACTTTTATGTAAAAGTCATACATTTTGAGATAAACTACAATTATTGAAAAACTGCCCTCATGATTGAATTTTCAACCCTCTTGAGGCACGGCTTAGGGTTGACCAAAATTAATGAAATTTGACACAAATTATTTTTTTATAGAGTTGAACAAATTCCGGGGGTAGCCTGTTTAAATTTAAAAAAATGAAAATTAAGGACCACCCTAATACATATATATATTTACACATATATACTTTTTTTTTTTTAATTGATTTTTTGTTTGCATGTACTACATTTATATTTGTGATCACCTTTATGATTATTTCTTATTGAAATGTTTTATGGACAATTTCACAGCAATTGTAATAATAATATTGTAGATATATTATATTATGGTAAAGGCAATATTAATTGATCTGATTTTGTAATTTTTAGTTTGTTGTATCCTGAGGAATGTTTCAATAATGGCTCAGCCTGTTGCCCAAGAGTGCTGGTTCTAATGAACAACGGATGTATTACACGGGTAATTCATTTTTATTTGTTAAATAATATTGGTCGGTCAGTAATTAATGTAGATTTTTCATGTTAATGGCACCGATAAATTGATTTTCATTTTGTAATTTTTAGATGGTATCTGTTGTGCCCGAATGAATACACTGAAGATTTCTGGCTGTTATCACTATTGGATTTATAGCAATGGTAATTCATTAAAAAAAATTAATTGTCAATTACATTTCTCAAAGTAGAGTTCATCTTTTTACATTTAAATTAATTTTGATTAACGAATGTTAATCATTAGGTTGATTTGTATTTTGTTTATTGTTGCAATTTGTACTACATCAGTCAATACATTCTCTCTCTCTATATATATATACTTTTTTTTTTCGTGTACTACATTTATATTTGTGATTCCTTTTATGATTATTTCTTATTGAAACGTGTTATTGACAATTTCATAACAGTTGTATTTATAATATAATTTTTATATTGTAGATATATTATTATGGTAATGGCAGTATTAATTGATTTGACTTTGTAATTTTCAGTCTGTGCATCTGTTTTGCCCGGTTGACGTGTATATTTATTTATATTCAGTTATGCGATTATTTATCGAATTGTGTTTAATGGAGTTCATCTTATTGCATAAGCAGCAATTGTTGTTTATATGAATATCTTTACTGATGAAAGTATAACGACAACGACGTGATTATTTATTAAAATGTGTAATTTATAATCGTATGACAAATGAAATATTTAATTCTTCTTATTTTCTCCTCTAGTATAATAGTGACTGTATTCATTAATATGATTTGTAAATTTTAGATAATGCACGGCCTTTGGTAAATCTACAATATTTTCACGTCTGTTGTACTCACGATGTGTTGATAGTTCTGTGCTGCTGGTTTTTTTTTAGCCTATGCTTGCCCTCCCTTACTGTTCGTCGATCCTCCAAAATGGTACTGTAAGCTTTTCGTTAGTTGTTATCTTGGATTTTATTTTCATTTATATTGTTTACTTTTCAGATCGCGTGTCAAACCTCGATTCCATAAGATATTGCCATTCGACAACGGAGGATCATCACGATTACAACGTGCAGTCCGCTCTTGGAGTTCATCGAAAACGTTTATTTCTTATTTAATTTACAACGTAATTCCTTTACCAATATTATTGTTTACGTTCGAGTCTCTCATTAAACCGTATTTTTCTAATGATAATTATATCAATTTGTATTCCAAGTACTACATTACTTCAATATGAACGAAATTTTTTTATGTGTGTGATCGAGACAATAAAGAAACATTAATTAATAAAGGAACGTTAATTTTTTTATTTTTAAAAGAAACTAATATCCTATGTTTACAATATTATTTATCGTACACGGCGACTCTCTTAGTCAATTATTATACATTGAATTTCCGATTCGTATTCGTTTTGTTCGAATGACAAACAATTCACTATTGTATTATTTTCAAATTTACAAGTTTAAATGTATTTATTCAGCGAATACTTGTATATTCGTTTTTGCCTACTCTATTAAATACATTCAACGTACTTTAATTTCGAATACTCTACTTCAATATAATATATTAATGGGTTTTAGTGAGTATTCTAATTCTGTATATTTCCCTCCACGAACAACCCGATTGGTGCGCCGCAATCCGAAATTCCCCTTCGTTATCTTCTATTACCTATTCGATACCTCTTTCCGTAATCTGTGGCCTACTTGATAACCGGCTTTTGCCTTCTCTAGATCGCGGAGCAAACCCTTGGTTTCCGTAGCGAGGCGTACGTTCGAAACGTTTGGACTACCTTTCCGAAATCATCTTATCCCGATCCAACTTCGCTTTGCAGCCTCTGCTAGAATAGCCGACGGGTTTGGATTTGTTGTGGGGTGGGGTTGCACTTTTTTCCGTAATCACTTGCTCCCGACCCCACTATCCTTTGCCAAAAATACGGAGCATTTATAGTGTTAGCGCGAGTTACACTGTAATATTGTATTTTTATCTTTGTTTAGCTGGTCAGCAATGTATCTTGTATTATAAATCTATTCAGTGTACGTTCCACCGGTGAACCATCAGCGACGCGCTCTAAGTTATGCTTGTATTTAAATATTGTCATTTAAATTAATTATAAATAAAATTACGGAGCAAATATTTTGTAAATTTTATTTAATTTTTGTTAAATTTAATATTTAGTGCATTAATCAAACAAATTAAAAAATATCAAACAAAATTAATTTAAGTGAGCGTTCGATTTATTACCATTAATAATCTCGCTTCACCATCAGGGAGCATAACTCAAGGAAATGTTGTCGTGAAAAATCTAATTTAGATATATTAAATTTGTTTTTATTAAGTTCACATCCAGTAATTATAAGTAAAAGAAAAAACACAATTAATGCCAATTGATGCACTTCATTACTAACGCAATACTTCAATATGTCAAAGATAGTGATGATGATGATGATAACAAGGATTGTGATGACGATAATGATGAAATGATGACAATAACCATGACTAATTTTAAACTTAAAACATAAAATAATCCATTTTTCTTTTATTAATAAATTGAATAGCTATTTCTGTCAAAATGTCATTAAAATAAATAAACACCTATGTTAATATTATGTAAATTACTTTTTATATATCTGATGGACAAAAATAAAAATAATATTAATTTTAGAAATATATTTTTTTGCTCCATGATTTAATGCCAACTTTTGATGCTCGTTGCCCCACTGTGCGTCAAATCGTTGAATCCGTGGATTGACTTGGTTGGAGTATATCTTCTCATTGTATGTAAAATTATTTTATTGTTCAATGTATTTATTGTACATTTGTATTTTGCGGACGTTCGATTGAATTTAAATATGAATTTATACATTTGAAAATCACATTATACAAAAAAACATATTAATTAGATTAGTTATTATTAGTCATATGGGCTAACCGCTTTAGTAGGAACCCGGTAGCGAACGAAATCCTTATGTACCAACCAATAGCTCTAGCTTCCAAGGTTTTATTTTATTATTTAATAGAGTTCATATAATTAAAATACTTATGCTTATTTATATTTGTATTAAAAACATTAAATTATATGTTATTGTGCTCATAATTGTTAAAAAAAGTACTTATCATTTTGCTTGGTATCAAATATCTTTTAATTAAAATTTAAAATGCAATAGATGAGATAATGTATAGAAAATATTTTATTTTTATATAAATAATTACAATAAGGTAAATTATCTTAATTTTATATAAAATTTAACAATTTTAAATTCAAAGTTTAAATATTACATATGTAGTAAGAGTTTATTAAACTAAGTTGTACAAAAACAAAATAAAATTATTCACAAAATTCACATGAATAATTATAATTATTTTGTGATAGTGTCACGTTACCATTATCGTGAGAATTATTTTAATAAAATACAGACAGCACATCCGCTGCCTAAGACTGATGAATTAACAAATAATATTTATTGCCAAATTGGCAATAGTTCTAATTATTATAAAAACCCAATAGACCTGACCATCGTGGTCAGTCGACTTCAGTGCCTTGTGTCATTCATCAGCCTCAGTACTCGGTTGTCGCTGTCCGGCTTACTGTTTAAAGTAAAGTCTTTGTTTATTCCTTTTTAAACCTATCTACTCCCTTCCACAACATTTCAGAGTACTTGTGTCTGCACCTTGTACTCTGTTATTTTTCCTCACCTGGTACGCCCAGTATTTGTGTTTTGCACTTCGTCTGCACCTCATACTCGGTGTAATATTATATTATTACTTATAATATTATGTTATCTTTTGTACATGTATGTCATATATTATGAATTTACAAGATTATCAAAACAGGGTTCCCTTATTTAAAACTTAAAATAATCAATAAATTAGACAATTAAATCTGATTATCGTACTGATTCAAAGTAACGCCCATGTGTGGGTTTTCAATTAGGTCCAGCCAATCACATTTAACTATTAATTAAGATCTACAGTTTCTAAGATCACACTAAGGATCGCTACACGGCCCTCGTCTACTATAAAAACCCATTTTTTCCAATTAAAATCAGTTCTTACGGCGATTTTAAAATACACAAAATCTGCGACACTCTACTCAAGATTCTTACTCTCTGGGACTTAGTTTTTTTTAAATTTATTTGGACTTAGAATATTTTTTCTTTAAAACTAAATGACACTTAGGGATTTTAAAGTAAATTTTGTTTTGGTGAATCTTTTAATTTAATTTAATTTGTTTATTAAATAATAATGTTTTATTTTATCATGGAAATAAATATCAATTAATATTTTAAAACAAAACATTTTTTTATATATATATATAATAAAACCGAATCAACTATAATTTTCTCAATTAATGGTAAATATTTATTATATGACTATAGTGTATTGCAACTCTATACTTATTGGGTAGCTAGCCTTTTAAGGTTTAATGTCTTTGTTCTAACGAATATCGCGCCGGCAGACAGAGTAAAGGTTGCAATTAAAGATTTTTAAAGTTAGGTGTATTAGGTTAGAATATATTTGTAAGCCTATGTGTATTGAGTAGCTAGTCTTTTAAGGTTTAATGTCTTTGTTTTAACGAACATCGCGCCGGCAGACAGCACAAAGATACTTACGAATATATGTTTTAGTGTTTAATTTTTGTCTTGGTGATTATTGTGCCGCATCCTTTCAAGGTGTTTTATTTTAGCACCGGGACACATTGGGCCACCACAATTCCGCCTTGACAAATCTTTTACATAGATATAAATATTTCTGAATCTTGTTTTGGCCAGGCCAGAGGAAAATTTAAGAAATATTGGTGTCGATATCTCAATAAAATATAATCTCTCAAACAATATACTCATTCTNTATCTCAATAAAATGTAATCTCTCAAACAATATACTCATTCTACAAAGTCAACTAAAGATACATCATTTGATTATAATTATAAAAAAAATATAGAGTGTATAGAATCTCCTGCATATAATAATGCAATCATAGATTTTGTGTAACGGTTTCGCATTATTTATAATTAAACGCTTTATTCTCAAACGGTCATATTTACTGTCGAACTCAAAGTGTACAACGTGTGAAATACAGTGTGAACTCATAATCAACATTGGATTGTCTAAAATAAGCATTACATTACGTAGGATACAAGGTAAGTACAAATTTAAATTTCCGCTTTCAAATTATAAATACTCTATTGCGTAATAAACCATTAAGATAGGTAATAAAGTTTTGTAGGATAATTGACTTCATTTATTCAATATTGTTCAACCCCGAGATCAGTTCATTATTTTTGTCACAACGTTTGTGTACATTTTTATTTATTTGATCATTATCCTCATGTATTTAAACTCCGTTTATTCACCCCTCTGAATTCTTCTTTATTCGTATCATTATATCCTTTGCACCCTTACATATCTTGCCACATTTAAACATGTGTTACTCCGCCATTTATTATCTTATTTAATAATTTTTATTATTATTCGGTCATACATACGCTATATTATATCTTTAGTCTGACTAAGAATCAACCCTCAGATTTTCTTTTGGTATAATATAAGCATTCACACCTTCAATAGTAAAATCCACATCACCACCATTTTTGTCCTCCATTATTCATTTACCTCAAACCTATATCATACCATTCGTCCCCAATACCTACCGCCTTTTTCTTTACGCTCCTTCACAACCATCTTATTATCATTCTAAAAATTTACTATTCACAATTATAACTAATTTTCTTTATTTCTTTTTCTTTTTGGTTTATTACATCGGCTACCCCTGTTCTTTGTCTTCTCCTATACACAAAGTATTTTTGTCTTGCACTTCGTCTGCACCTCATACCTAGGTGTTACCCTTATTCCCTTCCTATAACAACAGCCTTTCGAAACCCACAGCTAACCCGGAGTGTCAACCGAGCACGGTAATTGCTGTACGACAACACGCACGTGAATACCTAGACAGCAGGCACCACATCCTCATCTTCGTACACATAACCATCATTACCTCCTCATATACGCTTTTCTTTTACTGTGTTACGACAGAGTGGCACCCAACAAAGGTAACGTTTATATATTACGTTAGGGTTGTTGTTATAGTATAAAAAAAAATTATAATTAAACCAACTTAACCAACACTTGATGGCCAAAGAAGAATACACAAAATTTTAAATCTTACATTGTGAGAAATAAGATATTGGTCATTGGATTTATTTATAAAACAATGTCGTCGTGAAATAGATATTTCTTCAATTACAAGTGAACAGGCAAGAGAACGTCCAATAACAAACTGAAGAGTTATAATATATCAATTTAACCATTTTA